CGGTCTCCCCCTCATTAAATCAAAAGAAGGTCACGAGATTCAGATTCGGATGGGAAGCTCGAAGAATCAGATCCATAATTAAATCTCAATTTTGACAGACAAATGTAGAAATATAATCTAGTGAATAGAAACTAATAATCCTAGGAGTAGTTTCGTATCTAAACGATTCCGAAGGGGTTATTCTTCTCCTTTTCGTCCTTCGGTTGCGCCGTGCCTTCTGGTAAATTCGGGGCGGGAGTGGTGAGCGTATTCTTGTGATTTTTTCGTCTTTCTGAGATATCAGACATCTATCGGGCAGCGTCCCTCCAGCAACCTCCGAATATATAAGTCATGCTACATCATTATCCTCAAAAGAATACGTACCTCATAACACCAAGTAAATCAAAATTTGCGTCCCAAAATGACCCTGCTTTTGTCCCCCGGCTTCTGGACGAACCACTGGTCCAGCACAGACCGAACTTGGACCCGCTCCGCATGGAAGAACTCATGCACTGCGCGGGTCACTGCACCGCGGATGCGGGAGCCGTTGCCGCAGTACCTGGGCTTTCACCAACGGCTCACCCGAATCCTTCCTTGCGAAACCCGAGAACCATGTAACGAGTCCTGCTGCCGATCTAGGTACTGCCATTGCTGGCCGTGGCCCCTCCAGCTGTAATCATCTCCGCCAATGAGCCCCGATGGGACGACCTTCGGCCAGAAGGCCCGCAGGTCCTCGGCAGAATCTCCAGGCGAGCCCAGTCAATACGACAAGAAGGGCAAGGAAGTGTGCAGCACGCTCGACTCCTGCCGTAGAATGCTGCTCAGCTGGAGATATTCGCATTGAAGTCCTATGCGAATCTTAGAACCTGGACTGAATCCTGGAAAGCAGGGGTCCTCCATCACTCCGCAATAATCATGACGTGCATCCAGATACCTGAGATCTGTCCCGAAAGTATGCCCCGCGTGATCACACTTAGTATCGCCGAGCCCCTGTATATCGGAGTATACCCCTTAACCCCCCCCCTCCTCATCAGAAACTGCGGTATCCATGTCTTTGTTGCCAGCTGATTGGGACTAGGCAAGGGCGTGCGCAGGAATGAACCGGGATGTTATTGTAGGCCTTCGCTTTTCGCTTTCAGGAGCCTCCTTCGCTTTTCAGCCCCGTGTTCTAGCAAGCAACACTGGTGCAGTCAGACTCCGTTGCACGCCTGTTTTTGTTCTTGAGTTTCCGGTTTTTGTGACATGCGAAACAGGAAGTTCTTGAAATCCCATGTGCCACAGGGCTCTCATGTGGATTTGGGGGTTCTCGGAACGTCTCGGGTTAAAGGGTAGGCAGCGCTCAAAATCCATTTTGCAACTTTTGTGGTTCGTGGCCTTTCTGGGTCTGTGCGCGGGAATTTTCGGTTAGCGGAGGAGGACAGGCAGCAGCTAAAGTCATTGTGTAGCCCCTGGCACGATGGCACTCGCGCACGGTGGTTCGCAGCGCAGGTCGCGCAAAGGCATCGGAGGCACCAGCAAAGAAGAAGCTGCAGCGACGGGGCGGCTTGTGTCCGAGTCATCATCTGCGCAGACAGAAGTCGGGTTCCAGGGACCTTAATAATGAGAATAGGGCTTTGGGGGCTATTATGATAGCATATTTATATCTGGACCATAAGGAAATACTATCAGTATTTATTCCGACCCCTAGTAGTGAGTAGTTCTGCTTGCATGCGTTTTGTCTTTAGAGCCAGGGGAGTTGAGCAGAGAGCTGGTCTTCTGACATCGTGGTCCCGGTGCTTGGTGTGCCAGGCGACACAAAGTCCAGCGACTCGTCGTCGAAGACGCGCGCCCCCACGACGGACTCCACCTGAAATGCTGGTCTTGCACGATACGATGCTGGGGTTGCTTTCAGGGTGACCCATGGTTGCGGGCAAAACCCCCTAAACCTCTAAACCCTAAACCCTAAACCCCCTCAACCCTAAACCCTAAACTCCCATTGACCTCCGTCCAGGTGATGCCTCGCCTGGAGGAAGCGCACTTTCGGCCAGTATGGCGTGAGCCTCTGCATGGCCTCCTGCATGGCATGGCTGGGAGGCAGACAAAGGCTTAGGGCTTAGGGCTTAGGGCTTAGGGCTTAGGGCTTAGGGTTTAGGGTTTAGGGTTTAGGGTTTAGGGAACAGGTTTAGGGAGGTCAGACATGTGTAGCTTCCTAAATTAGGGTCCCTCTTTGTCATCCCTTTTAGAGGGTACCGCCTTATAATGGGTACCCACAAAGGACCCTAATTTAGAGAACTACCATGGGCACAGGCCGAATAGGTCTGCAGCTGAAAAGCAGGATGCCTCCTCTCTCTCTCTCTCACTCTTTTCCTCTTCCTCCTCTTCTTCTTTTTCTTCTGATTATTGTTCTTCGTGTTTTCCTTCTTCTTCTACTAAACCCTGCACACCTAATCCCCAAACCCTAAACAACACTAACTCTCTCTCCCTCTCCCTCTCTCTCTTAAGGGCCGGCTCGGGTGCCTTGTTTTGGGATGACAGCAGGGCCCGGCCTGCATCAGGGCTTGATGGTGCTCCTGGGCTTTACAGCAATTGTATCGGGTCTGTGTCAATAACTTCTTGACCGAAAGTTTTGAACGAAAGTTTTGAACGGGTGGGGCGGGGGTTGGCGGGTTGGGGGGGTGAGGAGGGGGATCTGGAGAGGGGCCGGAAAGAGGGAGGAGGGGATCGGGAGGGGGGCTCTGGTAGGGAAAGCCCCTAGAGGTTTAAAAAATAAGCATTCGGCCTCCCAAGAGTGTTTTGGAGCAATATACTTGAACTCAGCTTGTCCGCTGTTTAGACAAATAACTTGGGAAATTCGACTGGTACCACATACAATTCTACTCTCCGCGATGCCACAAATAGCTATGGCAAAAACGAGAAGGTAGGTTCCAATGAATTCAGCCACATAGGGGGCCATGGTCTCTGCAAAGCTGCTTTGTGGCATTGGCGCAGTTGTCGAGCCATATGTAGACAGCACAGAAGCATCTTTCGGTTTATTTGTCTTGAGGGATTAGGGTCTAGGGTTTAGGGTTTAGGGCTTAGGGTTTAGGATTTCGGCTATAGGTTTCTCTGCACATGTCGCAAACTCTCCTGTTAGAGGCCTCCTAATGACCTCAAGCAACAGCTTCCAAGCTCTTGGATTCATTTCCCTAAGCCCTAAACCCGAAACCTAAACCCCAAACCCTGAACCCTGAACCCTGAACCCTGAACCCTGAACCCTGAACCCTAAACCCTCATCTCTGCCGTGGCTCATCTGGGACGTTGGCCTTATCCTGGAAGTAGCCGGTGGGGTGGTGCCTGGCCAGAACTTGGGCTTCGGGTTTCGGGTTTAGGGATGTTCAAGGTTTAGGGTTTAGGGTTTAAGGTTTAGGGTTTAGGGAACTTGGCCGACACACAAGACTTCGAGACGGTGGGGTCAGTGGGGCGATGAGCGGCAACCTTCAGCCCTACATCTCTGGCTGTGCGGGACCTTTTTCTTGTCCTCAGACAGAATCCCCCTAAGCCCTAAGCCCTAAGCCCTAAGCCCTAAGCCCCGAAACTGTCCGATGCCTCCATGTATCGATGAGCGAAACCTGACTCAGCGTCTGCACCAAGGGCCACGGGGCGTTCGCGAGCAGCTTCTGGATGAAGGATCCTCCTTGAACCTGAGAGCTGCGCGGAGTTTAGTGCAAGTTAATCGCCATCATTAGACTTCAAATGCGCGAGCGTATTTAATTTCACGCCCGTAATATAATAATAGGGACAAAGAGGAAGAGGGAAGTGTCATGAGTTCTCCTTGAAATGGTGCCTTTCCTAGAGTCTATAGTTATTGTACGTGAGGCCGCCGAACAAGGGGGAAATGCTGCATCCGTGAAGAGAACGCGAGGGCGGTTATAATATTAAAATTACAAAGAACCCGTGATGCGTGAATCATAATATTCTTACGGGCCCTTGGTGAACGAAACCAACAAGAAAACCAAAAGAAAGTAGTGAGTGAGCCGCATGCGTTCTTTCTTTTCTTTCATGCGGCATTACTATTATTATCGTGTCCCGTGTTTCGTTCACATCTTAATTGTATTCATGGGCTCTCTGGTTCGCTTATAATACAAATAATGTGCTCTCTACACCTTAATTCTACGGGCTAGTAACCCTACACCCTAAACCCATAAATCATTAATAGGAAGCCAACAGCCCAGGTTGGTACTAAAAGTCTTCGAAACTGCCCCAATTTGCTGCGTCTTCTTTCCTCGCGGGCACGTTCATATTCATATTGCAGCTTTCATGCTTCGTGCCTCATTATAAAGCCTTATAATAATGTTCTCTTCACATTACAATAAGAAAGCCGCAGGAAAAGACCCTTGAAAGACAAAACCGGACGCTAATTCGTTCAGTGTCTTAATGTTGGTATTATTAGGAGCTAGACTGGTGATTAACCATGTAAACAAGAACGTAAACAATATTAAAAACAGATACGTCGTTTTCCAATAATGTCAGAGTGATATAATAAGACTATCTGTTGCTTTAAATTTCTCATAGTTTTCAAATGATACTACTATTTTCTTGTAGGATCGGCTTCTTGCCGAGAGGCGCCTAGAACAAGCAGACCAGGATCCGAACTCCTTCCCCCCTTCCGATGTCGTGGGCGGTCCCAGTCAGCGACTCCTAAAGACGCTGCGCTCAAAAAAGCGAGAACTCCCCTGGACCCACTCGAACCTCCGCAGGACCCCCCCCCCCCCCCGCGACTGACCCGCCACGGAGCTCGAGAAGCCAAGTTTCCAGCCAAGTTACTTATTAACCAATTATAGCTGTACTGATAATCCACTTATATGCCCCTTAAGTGCCCTTAAGTGCCCTAACATGGTTATAGGTACAGTTTTGAGTACAGTTTAGTTCTTTAAATCCTAAACCCTAAGCCCTAAACCCTACCCGAAGTACCATGAACCTCCAAGTACTTGGAGAGCCACTTGGAGAGCAGGCGCCTCGAGGATCACTGTCTCGTCACCAAGGCCCGGCTGCCGAGGCGGCGGCGCGCGCAAGCGTTTACAGGGTTTAGGGTTTAGGGTTTAGGATTTAGGGTTTAGGGTTTAGGATTTAGGGTTTAGGGGGTAGGGTTTAGGGTTTAGGGTTGGGAGCTGAGTTCATAAGACCCTCAATTATGTGAGTATTATTGTAGTACGACTACAAGATTGTTGGAATAATGCTACCTTGCTATAGGACTGTTGTAAGACTAGAACAATATTACTATAAGCTTGTTAGCAAATGTTCGTACCATCTTCTGAAAATATCAAGTTGTCCTGATATAACATCAATAGAGTGGCGGCAACATGGTCGTAAAGAAATCCTGCGCCGAGCTACGCCCAGGCAAATGATGCCGAGCAATGCAGAAGTAAAGACGAGTGTGGCGCCAGGTGGCGCGTATTCGCTCGTTTTCGCGTGTCTGCGCTTGTCATTCCTTGTCTTCCCTTGTCTTCGATTGTCTTCGCGTCTCTTCGCTTGTTTTCGATCGCCTTCGCTTGTCTTCGCACGTTTTCGCTCGTCTTCGGTCGTTTTCTCTCGTCTTCTCTCGTCTTCTCTCGGCTTCGAGTGTTCATCTTGGCATGGTCGCTCGTCTTCGCGTGTCTTCACGTCTTTGCGTGTCTGTGCGGATTTCCGCACGACTGCGCCAACGACGCAATCAATATTGTGACAATATGAACCTGATAATTGTATGAAACCATTGTACTATCATGACAATACTATTGTATTGTTGTGATCATATACTAGTAAAGTATGAGAGTAATACTACAAAAAACAGTTTTCAATACTGCAACCATTCGCTTCTGCTGCTTGGTGGTATATGCACATATCTTTATATTACTATTGGTCTTTTGTTCCACCGAGGTGCTCCCACTTCGGCCCAAGCGCGCGAGAGGTTCAGGGAAGCGAGCAGGCTTGCAAAGAGCTCCCAACGACTTGGGAGACGGCTATCGCCGCTTTCGACTCTGCTCCGCAAGTGCTCCACTAGGGCGTCGGTCAAAGGTGACCACCTTTCGTCGCTCCCTTCACAGCATGCCTCAAAAGTGAAGCTCTCCGCAAAGCAGCTTTCCAGCCCACCGTGTAAGCAGCAGAAATCTTGCCTCACGGAGACAGCCAAAGTAAAGAGCCCAAGTAAAGAGTTCATACTGTAGCTTTTGGAGCTCGCTCTTGTGGGCTCGGCTCTTTCTTCTCAGTTTCGGCTGCTACCGGTTCTCGGAGGGGCTTAGGCGGTTCAGGGGTTTAGGACCTGGGATTTAGGCTGCGTGGGATTGCTGATGTGCACGACAGTTGGGCGGTCACGACTGAGGCTCGGGGACCCTCACGTGCCCGCAGACATGCAGGCATGTCGACGCATGTGCTGGCACAAATCTTCATGTCGAATGAGAGGCCGACATGATTCAAAAGGGGGTTTACGAAATCAAGGTCCTTATTTTAAGGGGGTCCTACTATTTTAGGGTCTATATTGGGGTCCCCCTATTTTCGTAAACCCCAAAAACAACCTTAAGGAGGCTTCCGTCGATGCTCCCTACGCGTTGCAGGTTCGCACATCCTGTTGGCCCAGTTGCATGACATGGTTTGGGTCGCGTCCCCAGCAGTTCAATGATTCCAACGGTTCGATCGCCCCACTCTGCAGAACAGGCATGAGAAGCCACTGCGCTGCTCGCGCCATGGCCGGATTTGGGTCTCGTCTTCAATTTGCTAACAACTGAGATGAAAACATCGAACTGCAGTAAAGAGCTGTTGACATCAGTTGTAACACAGAGGGTCAAGTTGGAAAAACAATGCTCTGCTACGAACCATCTGCAGACACTCGGCATTCAAAAGGGCCGAAGCTGGAAATCTCGCAAATTCCTATTTTTCGCTGGTGCGTCAAGCGGACCTCCGGACCTCAACGTGATCCAGCAAGGCCATGCAAGAGTTCGCCACCAGCCAAGCGCGCCCTTGGGGTTGTCTTGGACTGGCAAAACTCACGGTCGCCCGAAATCAGCGACAGGAGAGCTGCTATTTAGTAAGCAACTCTGAAATATATATTGGCGGCCTGCAGTCTGGGCACATACAACCTTTATGCTTTGTTTGACGGGAGCACTCATGGGCAATTGACGTGTTTGGCACGTTCAGTACGTTGCTCTACGAAGCGTGCAAGAACAACAGGGCTGAACAAAGAGAGAGCGAGAGAGGGAAAGAAGGGGGCAAAACGAACGTCTGCTAAGAATTTCTCATCCTTGGCAGAGGATTGGGCATTTTGAACACATGCCTTAGTTTGGGGACTATGTGCACAGCAGTGATGAGAGGAGTAGCCGTCAAATGAAGCGTAAGGGTTCAACCCACAATGGCCGGACCCCTATTGAGCCCAGCCCAGGCCTGACCGTCATGGTCACAAGCAGCTTGCAGAGTCTCTTAAGCCCCCTGCTGCACGGACCCCACCACTACGGGTGGCCCACCTTTGGCCGCGGGCTCGTTCATGTTGGCCTTGCAGCAGCCGCAGCACACGCAGCAGCCCAGCGAGGCCGCCACGATGCCCAAGACGCAGGTGGCCCAGCCAAAGGCGCCGATGTAGACCACCAGGAAGCCCAGCGCGTTGCAAAGGGATGCCATGTCGTCTCGCTCCTGTGCCGAGCACTCGTAGCCGCTGCAGCGCTCACTGCAAATGGCATCCACGAAAGGCCCGCAGGCACCCATGGAGCCAAGGAGGGGAACCGCCAATGAGACCAATCCAAGCACGATGGCGACGCCAGCAATGATCTTCCCGTACTGCTTCAACACTCCACAGCAAAGCGGCAAGGAGGCCAGGATCACCATGATGAGGGCCAGCGCCATGCCGCCGAAGGAGCCACCATAGAGGGACGCCGTGAAGGAGTTCTGGTCGAACTCGCCATTGTTGGTGCAGGCCCAGGCGCTTGCGCAGCAAGCAGCCGCAAGAAGGGCCTGCGACGCATCAGGACCCGCAGCCCTCCCCTTCGACACAAGCAATGAACAACCGGCAGAGCTCAGGCAATGATGATGCTATCGTCATTCTTGCTTCACCAGGTCAGCATCAGGTCAGCATCAGCAGCAATGCATTTGCAACTCAAGTTCGATTGACGTCTTTCACCCAAAGCTGGCCTTGGACAACACGGTCATGGTGCGACGAGGGGCGGGGCGTGCTGGCCAAAGTGCTTGAGCTTCTAGTGTGCTCGGCCCAGACACTTTGAGTCATGCCCAGCCCCCAGCTGGCACGCCAAAGAAAACAGGCGCGGACGGATTGTTTCGTGTAGCTCCACCAAGACAGGACACACCACCCTTGACCCCCAACTCCCAAACCTGCCGCTGACTTCGCACTGAAACAACATCGCTGCCCCAGGAACTGCAGTATGAAACTGATGATATCAGTTGCTGCTGTCTCACTCTAAAACACACCGACGGTCAGGTCGGCAAGCAATTGCTCCACTACGAACCGCTTGCAGGCACTCCGCATTCAAAAGATGGTGGCGCCAAAGCGACCGAAGCCGGAAATCTCGCAAATTCCTATTTTTCGCTGGTGCGTCAAGCGGACCTCCGGACCTCAACGTGATCCAGCAAGGCCATGCAAGAGTTCGCCACCAGCCAAGCGCGCCCTTGGGGTTGTCTTGGACTGGCAAAACTCACGGTCGCCCGAAATCAGCGACAGGAGAGCTGCTATTTAGTAAGCAACTCTGAAATATATATTGGCCGCCTGCAGTCTGGGCACATACAACCTTTATGCTTTGTTTGACGGGAGCACTCATGGGCAATTGACGTGTTTGGCACGTTCAGTACGTTGCTCTACGAAGCGTGCAAGAACAACAGGGCTGAACAAAGAGAGAGCGAGAGAGGGAAAGAAGGGGGCAAAACGAACGTCTGCTAAGAATTTCTCATCCTTGGCAGAGGATTGGGCATTTTGAACACATGCCTTAGTTTGGGGACTATGTGCACAGCAGTGATGAGAGGAGTAGCCGTCAAATGAAGCGTAAGGGTTCAACCCACAATGGCCGGACCCCTATTGAGCCCAGCCCAGGCCTGACCGTCATGGTCACAAGCAGCTTGCAGAGTCTCTTAAGCCCCCTGCTGCACGGACCCCACCACTACAGGTGGCCCACCTTTGGCCGCGGGCTCGTTCATGTTGGCCTTGCAGCAGCCGCAGCACACGCAGCAGCCCAGCGAGGCCGCCACGATGCCCAAGACGCAGGTGGCCCAGCCAAAGGCGCCGATGTAGACCACCAGGAAGCCCAGCGCGTTGCAAAGGGATGCCATGTCGTCTCGCTCCTGTGCCGAGCACTCGTAGCCGCTGCAGCGCTCACTGCAAATGGCATCCACGAAAGGCCCGCAGGCACCCATGGAGCCAAGGAGGGGAACCGCCAATGAGACCAATCCAAGCACGATGGCGACGCCAGCAATGATCTTCCCGTACTGCTTCAACACTCCACAGCAAAGCGGCAAGGAGGCCAGGATCACCATGATGAGGGCCAGCGCCATGCCGCCGAAGGAGCCACCATAGAGGGACGCCGTGAAGGAGTTCTGGTCGAACTCGCCATTGTTGGTGCAGGCCCAGGCGCTTGCGCAGCAAGCAGCCGCAAGAAGGGCCTGCGACGCATCAGGACCCGCAGCCCTTCGGACACAAGCAATGAACAACCGGCAGAGCTCAGGCAATGATGATGCTATCGTCATTCTTGCTTCACCAGGTCAGCATCAGGTCAGCATCAGCAGCAATGCATTTGCAACTCAAGTTCGATTGACGTCTTTCACCCAAAGCTGGCCTTGGACAACAAGGTCATGGTGCGACGAGGGGCGGGGCGTGCTGGCCAAAGTGCTTGAGCTTCTAGTGTGCTCGGCCCAGACACTTTGAGTCATGCCCAGCCCCCAGCTGGCACGCCAAAGAAAACAGGCGCGGACGGATTGTTTCGTGTAGCTCCACCAAGACAGGACACACCACCCTTGACCCCCAACTCCCAAACCTGCCGCTGACTTCGCACTGAAACAACATCGCTGCCCCAGGAACTGCAGTATGAAACTGATGATATCAGTTGCTGCTGTCTCACTCTAAAACACACCGACGGTCAGGTCGGCAAGCAATTGCTCCACTACGAACCGCTTGCAGGCACTCCGCATTCAAAAGATGGAGGTGGCGCACGCGCCAAGGCGACCGAAGCCGGAAATCTCGCAAATTCCTATTTTTCGCTGGTGCATCAAGCGGACCTGCGGACCTCAACGTGATCCAGCAAGGCCATGCAAGAGTTCGCCACCAGCCAAGCGCGCCCTTGGGGTTGTCTTGGACTGGCAAAACTCACGGTCGCCCGAATCAGCGACAGGAGAGCTGCTATTTAGTAAGCAACTCTAGAAAAATGGCCGCCTGCAGTCTGGGCACATGCAACCTTTATGCTTTGTTTGACGCGAGCATTCATGGGCAATCGGCGTGTTAAAAGAGTGAGAGAGAGAGCGAGAGCGAGAAGCGGGGCAAAACGAAAGTCTGCTGAGAATTTCTCGACATGTCGTACATCTGCCTTAGTTGTGCACAGTAGTGATGAGAGGAGTAGCCGTCAAATGAAGCCTAAGGGTTCAACCCACAATGGCCGGACCCCTATTGAGCCCAGCCCAGGCCTGACCGTAATGGTCACAAGCAGCTTGCAGAGTCTCTTAAGCCCCCTGCTGCACGGACCCCACCACTACGGGTGGCCCACCTTTGGCCGCGGGCTCGTTCATGTTGGCCTTGCAGCAGCCGCAGCACACGCAGCAGCCCAGCGAGGCCGCCACGATGCCCAAGACGCAGGTGGCCCAGCCAAAGGCGCCGATGTAGACCACCAGGAAGCCCAGCGCGTTGCAAAGGGATGCCATGTCGTCTCGCTCCTGTGCCGAGCACTCGTAGCCGCTGCAGCGCTCACTGCAAATGGCATCCACGAAAGGCCCGCAGGCACCCATGGAGCCAAGGAGGGGAACCGCCAATGAGACCAATCCAAGCACGATGGCGACGCCAGCAATGATCTTCCCGTACTGCTTCAACACTCCACAGCAAAGCGGCAAGGAGGCCAGGATCACCATGATGAGGGCCAGCGCCATGCCGCCGAAGGAGCCACCATAGAGGGACGCCGTGAAGGAGTTCTGGTCGAACTCGCCATTGTTGGTGCAGGCCCAGGCGCTTGCGCAGCAAGCAGCCGCAAGAAGGGCCTGCGACGCATCAGGACCCGCAGCCCTCCCCTTCGACACAAGCAATGAACAACCGGCAGAGCTCAGGCAATGATGATGCTATCGTCATTCTTGCTTCACCAGGTCAGCATCAGGTCAGCATCAGCAGCAATGCATTTGCAACGCAAGTTCGATTGACGTCTTTCACCCAAAGCTGGCCTTGGACAACAAGGTCATGGTGCGACGAGGGGCGGGGCGTGCTGGCCAAAGTGCTTGAGCTTCTAGTGTGCTCGGCCCAGACACTTTGAGTCATGCCCAGCCCCCAGCTGGCACGCCAAAGAAAACAGGCGAGGACGGATTGTTTCGTGTAGCTCCACCAAGACAGGACACACCACCCTTGACCCCCAACTCGCAAACCTGCCGCTGACTTCGCACTGAAACAACATCGCTGCCCCAGGAACTGCAGTATGAAACTGATGATATCAGTTGCTGCTGTCTCACTCTAAAACACACCGACGGTCAGGTCGGCAAGCAATTGCTCCACTACGAACCGCT